CAGAGCTGTGAAGAACACCTCCCTCTCCCCTCATCATTACCAGTTCACTGTGTGACCCTGAGTAGGTGGCCTTCCCTCTCTGATCTGGGTTTCTTCATTATCCAATAGGGGAGGAGGGCATGGACCATGAACTTTCTTAGGTCCCTTTCTGCCTCCAACCTGATGATATAAATCAACCATCACTGAGCTGTAGGCACCAGATAGAAGTATGGCTACAAAGTCCTCTAAAGCAAGTCTGTCTCTGGCATGCTTCCAGGAGCTGAGAGTGGGCCTGGGGGTGATGGGACACGCCCGTTGTTGCCATCAGAGGTGGGCCCAGCACACAAGAAAGCCCTGAGCAATGGCTGGATTTCCTGAGTGTCCTCCACCCCCACCCTGCCCCTTGGCCGCCCTCCCCTTCTCCTTGGCTCCGACTCTCTGGAAGCTCCATCCTGCTGAGTCTTGGCTGCTGTTTCCAGCAGGTGGGGTGGGGGCTGCTCACCAAAGGGGCCTACGGAGCACCCTCCGCAGGTTCCAGTGGGCACCCCAAAGGGGGTCTCTGAGAAGGACCCAGCTCATCTGCCTGGAGCCAAGGCCTTCAGAGACCCCCAGCCCAGACTGGAGGGAGCATCTTTCTTCTCCCAGGCCCTAGGGACAACTTGGCAAACCCTTATCGCCTGAGAAGCAGCTGCTGGAGAAATACCTTAGCAGCTGACTCACTGCCCTGTCCTCTCTTTACAACCCCCTCCCACTGGGCCCCACACCAGGCCTGAGAGGGAGGGAAGGAGGAAGGGAGGGAGGGGAAGAAAAGAGAGAGCGAGAAGGGACAAAGCGACCCCAGCTGGTCTGGCCCAGACGCTACAGAGGGTGTGGTGAGCATAGTTCTGGATGGGTGGTTGGGGGAGGCTGTACCCTGTACATGGTCTTCGTCGGGGATCACAGTTATTCTTAGAGACTTGTTCAGCTGAGGCTCTGACCTCCTGGCACTGCCTCCCCTGGGCATTGATAGACAACTGACATCCTGCTGGCACTGCCCTCTGGGGTACAAGGCCTTGTCACCCATCACAAGATATAGATCCTGCCTCAGGGAGTTTACAGTCTAGCAAAGAAAAGATTCCTGAACTGGACAAGGACTGGGTAATGAGGAGTTGTGTACGATTCCCAGTTCTCCTTGGCTCCCTGGGCCTCAGTTTCCCTGTCTGTCAAATGCAGATATGCAATGTCCTATCCCACTGGGTAATTGTGAGGATTGAATAAAACAACGCATGTGGAAGTACAACAAAAGGCTGGATAGTAATGATCAGCTCTGGCCGACTGGGAAAGGAGAGAACACCTAAATCGGTAGGGTTTCTGGACTCATTTTGCCCTGGATTCTCTGATCACAGTTTGGGGGGAAGACCAAACCACCTTTCCCCATGGGCTTCAAGCTCAGCTCCCTTCAGGCCCAGAGTTAGACTTTTCTTTATAATAATGGCTCACAACTACATACTAGGCACTGTTCTAAGTATTACATGCATTTATTGCATGTATGTATATGTGTGTTATATGTATACATGTGTTATATGTATTTATTCCTTTTGTCCTCATAATCCTTGTTAGTAAGCACCTAACAAATATTTGACCCTCATGACAACAACAACACTGTGAGGTAGGAACTATTATTCTCCCTAACAGATGAGGAAACTAAGGCACAGAGAAGAAAAGTAACTAAGCAAGTAGTGGAGCGAGGGATCAGCAAGAAGTCTACCCAACTACAGAGCTTGTGTTCATCCCCTGCTCCCCACAGACTGATTGATGCTGGCGGCCCTGACCCTCACGCTCCGATGGGGCTTGTCTGCTCATCCCTCTGCATTGGAATGGGTTCCGAGGAGTCCACGCCAGAAAAAGCAGACAGCTCCAGGCTGCACACCAACCCCCAGAATCTAGTCCTTAACCCTTTGCCAGATGGGGCCTCAGGACAGGAAGCAAAGCCCCCATCATCTCTACCAGTCCACCAGCAAAGTCAGTCAGTAAATAATGCATAAACAACAATAACTTTTCCTTACATACTTGTGATTCTTTTTTAAAATATATTTTATTGATTTTTTACAGAGAGGGATAGAGAGTTGGAAACATCAATGAGAGGGAAACATCGATCAGCTGTCTCTTGCACATCCCCTACCAGGGATGTGCCCACAACCAAGGTACATGCCCTTGACCAGAATCAAACCCGGAACCCTTCAGTCCGCAGGCCGATGCTCTATCCATTGAGCCAAACAGGTTTCGGCTGTAATTCTTTTCTTTTTAAATATATTTTTATTGATTTCAGAGAGAAAGGGAGAAGGAGAGATAGAAACATCAATAATACGAGAGAATCATTGATTGCCTGCCTCCTGCACACCCCTTGCCTGCAACCCGGACATGTGCTCTTAACCCGAATCAAACCAGGGACATTTTAGTACACAGGCCAATGCTCTATCCACTGAGCCAAACCAGCTAGGACCTTATAATTCTTTAGAGAGAAAAAAATAAGCCTACTATGTACCAGCTGCTGAATGCTTTATTAATAAGAGGTAGCATTTGTTCAGTAATTACTATGTGCTAGGAACTGTTCTAAGTTGCTTTACAAGTATAGGTGACCCTTGAACAACACAAGAGTTAGAGGCGCCAGTAGAAAATCCATGTATAACTTTTGACTCACCCTAAATTTAACTAATAGCCTACTGCCAACCAGAAGCTTTACCAGTAATATAAACAGTCAATTAACACATAGTTTTGTATGTATTGTATACAATAAAGTAAGCTAGAGAAACAAAAATGTTATGAGAAAATCAAGGAAGAGAAAATACACTTACAGCACTGTACTTATCAATATCCTAAGGCCACATCCTTCTGTTTACAAGATGAAAAAAAGTCCACATATCGTGGACCTGTGCAGTTGGAACCCATGTTGTTCAAGGGTCAACTGTATTAACTTGCTTAATCGTCACACTAATCCTGGTGGGGAGGAACCATGTAAAGTCCCCTGTGCCACAGAAGAAATGAAACAGAGAGAGGAAAATGCGCTTTCCCGGAATCAAAGACCAATATTTTTCAGGCTTTTTTGTTTATAAGAAATACTAGAGGTTTGGCACACAAAATTTTGTGTGTGGGTACAGTTCCTAGGCTTGTCCTGTGATCAGGGCCATCTTCCCTGGCTGTCTGCAGCAGGCCTGTCCCTCACTGCCACCCCACCTCCCACCCCCCACCCCAGTTTCCCATTTGCCATCAGGTGATCAGAGACTGACAACCAGGGGGAGACATCAAGAGGTTGGCTATTCCCGCCTACTCAATGGCCCTGCCCTTGCTGCAGTTCACCCTCCATGTTGGAGCGACTAGACAAGCGAGGCAAGGGCCTTGGCTTGGTGCTACCCATGTCCCCCACCACTCACCCCTGTTTTCCCCATTCGCCATCAGGTGATCAGAACCTGCCAGCTGGGGAAAGAGACCGAGAGGTGGTCAGTGTGTCTCATAGTGACTGGTTGAGCAGTTATTCTGCTCGTTTCGCCCTTAGGGTCAATTTGCATATTGCCCATTTATTATATAGGATAGAGGCCCAGTGTATGACTGGGGTCCAGCTAGTCTATTCTGACGGGACCCCAGATCAAGGTGAGGGTTCCTGCTGTGGGGAAGGCTGTTTGCAGGCTGTCCCCAACCCTGATCTGGGTGGGGTCTCCGCTGCTGGGGGGTGGGGGGAGGCCAACCGGCAAGGTCATTCTGGTCTCTGGTCATTCTGGTCGCTACACCATTTCAGTTGCTAGGCTCTTATTATATAGGATATTTACATCATCACCACAAACACACACACATAACTGAGATAAAAATTTAACTTTTCTGTGTGTGCTATGCATGCTGATGTTCTGTACTCTATTTTGTTCTGTTTTATTTCTTCTTACATTCTGACCATGGCCTACTAAATTAATCCCACACCCTGTTCATGGGACAACACTGGCAGTTTGAATGGCACTGAGTCTGGCTAGAAGTCCCAAGACTGAGTCCGGGGATTCAAACCCAAGTGATATGGCTCCAGAGCCTGTTCTCTTGGGCTAAAGATTGGCTTGGAAAAGGGGGATGCCGGAGGCATGGGGACAAGTGGGGACCTTACTAATGAGGGAAGTGAAGGCCTGGATAATCCCGCCTTGACTCCCAGCAAAAGATAATGCAAAAGTCACTAATACTGCCAAGGGGATGCAAACTTGCTGCCATAGACATATTCTTTTTCTTTTTAAATTTATTTTCCAATTACAGTTTACATTCAGTACTATTCTGTATTGTTGACTCTAGTCCCTGTGCTGTAATCTATATCTAGGTGGCTATTCTGCAACTACCAATTTGTACTGTTTTATTCCTTCATCTTTTCACCCAGCCCCCCAACCTCCCTCCCCTCTGACGGCTGTCAGTTTGTTCTCTGTGTCTGTGAGTCTGTTTCTACTTTGTTTGTTTGTTTGTTTGTTTGTTTGTTTTGCTTATTAGATTCCACATGTAAGTGAAATCATATGTTATTTGTCTTTCTCTGACTGGCTTAATTTCTCTTAGCGTAATACCCTCTATATTCCTCTAGGGTCATCCTTGCTATTGCAAAGACATAGTGACTCTTTAATTAGTCCTCCCATGAAGGAAGTAGAGTGGACTGAGAGACAGATTCACGCAATCTAAGTGATGCGACCAAGGTCACTGAGCCAGAACTAGAGCCCTGAGTCCTGTCGCCTGGTCCAGGGATCTTTTCACGCCATCTCCAGCTTACCTTTGAAGCTGGCCATGGCAGCGGATATGGGAGTGGAGGTCATGTGATGGCTGGTGCGGGTGATCACAGAACTGATCATGGTTGGTGCAGGTGATGTGGATGGTGGGAGCTACTGGTGGTGACATTAATGGTGGCGGGAACAGCAATGGGGACGTTGCAGGGACAGTGCTGGTGGTGGCAGGGCTGGAGGCACCACCACAGCGGTGTCTGTACCCTTTTCCCAAGCTAAACTGCCCCCCACCTTCTCTTCCTTCCCTAGCACTTCCCTGAGCACCTGGACCACTTTGCGGAGAACATGGAGGACTTCTCCAACGACCTGTTCAGCAGCTTCTTCGATGACCCGGTGCTGGATGAGAAGAGCCCCCTGCTGGACATGGAACTGGACTCACCCACGCCCGGCATCCAGGCCGAGCACAGCTACTCCCTGAGCGGTGACTCTGCCCCCCAGAGCCCCCTTGTGCCCATCAAGATGGAGGACACCACCCAAGGTAAGAAGGGTGGAAGGGCCCAGGACAGCACAGGCACCCAAGGCCCAGGATGGGGGATGGGCAGGGGCGGGCACTGGAGGCTGGGACTCCCACCCACAAATACCCCTCAAGGAGGCTGCGTGGCCTTTTTGTTCTCTCTCCCATCGAGCCCATACGGGCACTTCTCAAAAGCGTTTGCTGCTGACTTAGGTCAGTAGTGGGCGAGGGGTGGTTCCCGGACAGGACTGCAGCGTCACCTGGGAACTTGTCAGAAATGTAAGTGTCAGGTCCCACCCAGACCTGTGGGATCAGAGACCCTGTGGGTAGGGCTCGGCCTTCCGGGTGATTCTGAAGCACACTCGGGGCCGAGGAAGCGTCGCCTTGGAGGAAACAGTGCAGGGAATGAAGCAGTAAATGTGGACAAGTTACCAAGCCACTATTCTAGAGCCTTCCCACCCCTCCTTGGGGAGGCCCGCCGAGATGCGACCCGGGAGACACTGCTGCGCCCACTTCTGTTACTGAAGGAAGAGTTCTCTGGAGCTCCCCTCGCCCCCTGCCTTGCCCTTAAGCGAAGGGCCCTTTGTGTCTTTCCTCTCAGCTTCCACATTCGAGAACTCCAGACTGTTGCCCACCTAGCAATGGCCTCTGGGCATTTCCTCAAACCGTCTGGCCCCATCGTGTCTGGCCAGGTGGTCATGGACACATCTCCCGGCTTCTGTGAGCCTCGGGTCTTCATCTGCCAGTGCGTTAAGTCACAAACAGTAAAATGCAGGTTAGGGACTTGGAAGCCAGCAAGCCCGCTGATTCTAAGCCTCACACTCTCGCCGCCACCACATTTGCCAGCCTCAAGGGGGCAGCAGGGGGTCCTTGGTTTGGAACCAAACAAACATCCTGATGCTTCCCCCAGCTGCTGTGTGAACTTAGGCACGTTTCTTAACCTCTCTGGGCTTCTGTTTCCTCAATTGTAAAATGAAGAGGCTCTGTGGCTTGACATAGAATTCTGGGCAAGGTTAAAGATCCCAGCACATAATATATGTCAACTAGAGGCCCAATGCATGAAATTTGTGCAAAGGTCTCACCCTGCCCACCCCCACCATGGCTTAGTCCAGAAGGTTATCCAGTCTAATTAGCATATTACATTTGTATTATTATGATCATTACTGGCTATTTTCATTGTGCCTATAAAAATCCTCTTGATACTATAGTGGTTCTTATTCCTTTCCCCTCGGAGCTTAATGGTTTTTGAGTGGTTTTCTTAATGTTCTCTTCTGTTAAATGGGAGAAATAGTGGTGTCCGTCCCATAGAATCTGGGGAAGGAATAAATGAGTTCATATGTGTCAAGGGCTTAGGGCTGTGCTCAGTACAGAAAGTGTGAGGTGCTGCTTAGGGTCTTAGAGATCCCCCAGGGGCAGAGACAGACCTTTGTACCGTCCCCACCCTCCCAACCCGAGCCCTGAGGGCAGGGACAGCCCTTGAGGTTTTAAGTGGCTCCAGGGCTTGTGGTTGCTGAGGTCCCAGCTTCCCTCTGCGCCCTGGCCACAGGGAAGAACTCTGAGGTCACCTCGAGGAGGCCTTGGGCACAGCCTGGGGAAGGGCAGGCTGTGGGGTGGGCACCCTCCCATGGCGGGCTCTCCCTCCATCCCCACATGTCCAGCAACTCCTTGAACACCCCCAGTCTATTTTTAGGGTAATTTATTTGCGGGCCCTTTGCAGGGGGCAGTTTCCCGGAGGCCAGCGGGCTGGCCCTGTAATTTGGGAAGATTGTGGGTGTTCCTGGAGCCAGGGGCAGCCTGTGGCCCAGAGCCGGGGCTCTCCGGCTCCCAGAGGGTAGGGCCTGGTCTCTGAGGTGGGATCGGGCAGCCACTGACCCCTCTCCCCACCCACATTGGGTCCCAAAGGCCAGAATCCTCTCATAGTCCTTCCTTTGCAAGCTGGCCGCCTTACCAGTGCTTCCCTGACTTCCAGGTGGGGCCAAGCTGAGCTGGGGTGGAGGTTTGTGGGCACCTAGCAGGAAAAGGGGTGCTGTCTGCCATCCCTGTGGCCCAGGTGAGGCCAGGAGGCCCACTAGATAGGCAGGAGGTAGATGCTGCCTGGGAGACCTGAGCATCATCCCTCACACAATGTGCTTCCTCCCCCCCCCCCCCACCTGCCCCCAATCACCAGGTCCTATGACTGCTTCCTTCCAACTATGTCTCCAGGGTGCTCCATCCTCTCCATCCCCACTGCCACTGCCTTTGCTCAGGCCTTGTCTTCTCTCAATGGACCATTTCAGCAGCCTGCCGCGGGTCCCTGCCTCTAACTCGCCAGCCCCGGTCCAGTCTTCACACAGAGGCAGAGGGATCTTTTTTCACGTCACAAACCTAATCATATTGAAATTCTCCAGTGCCACCTCGTTACCTTTAGGATAAAGTCACAGCTCTGAGCCCAGCCCCCCAGGCCGTGCTGCCCCTGCCGGCCCCTCGGACCCCATTTCCTTTCCTGTTCATTCCAACTGCTTGTGACTCTCACTAGATGCCCAGAGCCTAGCACAGTGCTCAGCAAATGTTCACTGAGTAACAACAAGTATCTGAACAATGGTACCATTTGTTGGACATGTATTTACTTCCTACCAGACACTTTTATAGAGGAGAAAACTAAGGCTCAGAGAGGTTAAACAACTTGCCTAAGGCCACCCAGCCAGTCAGGAGGGTTTCTGGTCTGTTGTCCAAGCCCAGTCTATGGGCTGCTGAATGAAGAAGATGCCCCCACTTCTCCCAGCTCCCTGTGGACAGGAGGGGGCGCTGAGCCCTGTGCTCCGGGAGTCCCCTGAGCCTGGGTCCTGTCTCCCCTTCCCCCAGATGTGGAACATGGAGCCTGGGTGCTGGGACACAAGCTGTGCTCCGTCATGGTGAAGCAGGAGCAGAGCCTGGAGCTGCCCGTGGACCCTCTGGCCGCCTCCTCAGCCATGGCTGCCGCTGCTGCCATGGCCACCACCCCGCTGCTGGGCCTCAGCCCCCTGTCCAGGCTGCCCGTTCCCCACCAGGTGAGCCTGGGGACTGTTTGGTAGGGACTGAGGGAGGGGCAAAGGGTGGGGTGGGGGTGGGGGTGTCTGTGGGAAGAAGTGTCCAAAGCACTGTGTACCCAGGGTTCTATAACAGGGAGACATGTGATCCTCGGGACCAAGGGGTGGCACTCCCAGAGGGACCTCTGCCTCCCCCCTGGGCCACCATGCACCACCTAGAATGCTCACAGACCATGGAGCCCTCACAGTAAGCAGGGCCCTCGCCGTGTGTGGGCAAGGCTGACAGGACGCAGGCAGGGCTGGCGTTGGGCCATGACCAGAGTCCCAGCGATGGAGACAGGCCAGGCCATTTCTCGTTCTGAAAGCGTCGGCATTTTTAAAGAGAAAGGTCAACGTGGAAATATAAAACGTGTGGTTTCATTTGTTTGCATTTGTGAGATTAGTATCTTCACCCCACGTGCTCACACTACCCTCACCCGCTATGAATGTATAGATGTAACAGCCTTTGGCTACAGATCCAAGATGATCCCTGAAAACCCTTCTGAGAATGTGAGGCCTGCCTGGCTCCCAGCTTGGCTCTCACTTGTGCTCTGGGCACATGCCACCCCCTTTTCCTCAGCCTCCTTTTCTAGAAAATGGGAGCCTGAGCTACCAGGTGCCTCTGAGGAGCTTCTATCCCTGGATGGTCTTAAATCCTTCATCTAGATTGGGCCAGCCTGCCCCCTGCTGGCCACACAGCTCATCTGATCAGAATGTGGCCACAGGTAGACCTGTCAGCCCCTCCCAACCTCTCTAACCCTTCCACTCCCTCCACTGTCCACCAGGATCAGGGCTGGCTACAGATGTGGAGGGTCTTTTTTTTATATATATATATATTTATTGAGAGAGGAAGGAAGAGGGAGAGAGAGATAGAAACATCAATGATAAGAATCATTGATCGGCTGCCTCCTGTACACCCTATACTGGGGATGGGAACCTGCAAACCGGGGCATGTGCTCTTCACCAAAATAGAACCTGGGACCCTTCAGTCCTCAGGCCAACACGCTATCCACTGAGCCAAACCAGCTAGGGCTGGAGGATCTTTTTAATACACACACACACACACACACACACACACACGTGTGTGTGTGTGTGTGTGTGTGTGTGTGTTTATTAACTTTTTTAGAGAAAGAAGTATAAAGAGATAGAAACATCAATGAGAGAACATTGATCAGCTGCCTCCTGCACACCCCCTACTGGGGATTGAGTCTGAAGATCTGTGACTTCTTAGTTCATGAGTCAATGTTCAACCACTGAGCCGCCAGCTAAGCGTGGAGGATCTTTTGTGATCAGATCCAAGACTGGCTCCGCAGCACCTCGGGCCTTGCCAAAGCAGGAAGGAAAGGCAGACTGCAGCAGGGGGCAGGAAGGAGGTGGGGCACATGCCTCAGAGAAGGAAACTGAGGCTCAAGGGGTTAAGCAACTTTCCCCAAATCACACAGTCACAGACAGAGGAGCGGCACCCCCAGCTCAGACGCCAGACTGTAACCCCACCCTCACTCCAGCGAGGTCACAACACGCGAGTGGCGGCTAGAGAACCAGGAGTTGGCGAAACACCATCGCCCTTCTGCATCGCAGTCCCCTCACCTGTCACTTGAGGCCTGAGCTGGGATATAGACGGGGGAACTTACCAGGTCCCCTCCCCCAACCTTGAACCTTCTGTGATTCTTACTCATCTGCCTAAACTTGGGATTCTGTGTCCCACCCACAATATCATGACCTCCCTCTGCTGGCCGCAGACCAAGGGAAAAGATAGTCCGAAAATCCAGCACCCCACACAGCGCCTTCCTCAGAGAACACGGCTCCCGTGCGTGTGAACAGCCATGTGTGGGAAGCCACGCTTGTTCCTCAAATCCTATCTGGAACTGCAAGTTGGAATATAAAGAAACAGGATGCTCTAACCGGTTAGGTTCAATGGATAGAGTGTGGGACTGCGGACTGAAAGGTCCAGGTTCAATTCTGGTCAAGGGCATGTACCTTGGTTGCGGGCACATCCCCATTTGAGCGGGGGCGGGGAGGGGAGTGTGCAGGAGGCAGCTGATCAATGTTTCTCTCTCATCAATGTTTCTAACTCTACCCTTCTCCCTTCCTCTCTGTAGAAAATCAACAAAATAAAAATAATTTTAAAAGCTTATCACTTTTAAAAAGAAAGAAATAGGAATGCATGTTTGTTTAAAGTTAAACCGAATTCTGTCAGTCTCTTGCTTACAACCCGTTAGAGGCTCTTCCTTGCTTCCAATTCTTTTGTCTGGATTCCACTCCCACCCCCACCCGACTCTGATCATCTGGTCTTATTTCCTACCCCTCCATCTCCCACACATTCCCACATTCCGGACACCCTGAATGCTGGCAGTTTCCAGACCCAGCCATGCTCTGTCTGGCCTCTGGCCCTTGGCGGATGCTTATCCCTCTGCTTGGCTGAGTGGCTCCTCTATGCACAGGAACTTGTCTCTACTCCTTCTGGGCTATGCCCAGAGCTCTTAGCCCAGCCACCTCCCCAGTTCTGCAGGACAGGGAGGGAGATGGTGGATGGCCTGGTAGGGACAGTCCAAGGGGCAGCTGATGGAGCTGGACCTCTCTCCTCCTCAGGCCCCGGGAGAGATGACTCAGCTGCCCATGATCAAAGCAGAGCCCCAGGAGGTGAACCAGTTCCTCAAAGTGACACCAGGTAAGTGGGTCCAAGGAGGGAGTCTTCCTCTCCCGTCCTGGGCAGACAGCATCCCTGATGCCTTGGTCCAGCCGCTCACCTTCCTCAGCAACCCACCTTTCCCCATAATATCCCTCCTCCATGCTTGGCCCGCTCCCCATCCTTCCAGTTCCCTTCTTACCCAACCTCTGACTGTCATCACTGCTATCTACACCCTCACACCTTCTTCACTAACCCCCTGCCATTCACTATGGCGGCTCATTTTATTGCCATTCATTCATCTATCCATCTGTCTCTCTGTCCGTCCATTCGTCTATCCAGCCAGCCAGCCAGCCAGCTCTCCATACACCTGGGCATTCTGTGCTGCCCAGCTTCCCCCTGACCACCCGCAGAGTGCCAGTCTCCCTGGTGCTGTGGCCACAGAGGGAGAGCACAGAGGGAGGTTGGGGAGAGCAGTGCTCTGGCTGGTGGGCTGCAAGCCTAGTGCCTGCTACCTCGTTACCCTGAAGTCAGAAATGGAAACCCTGGGGCAGTTACAGCTACCCATTTGGAGTGGGAGGGAGGAAGGGCAGATTCCAGTCACCTGCTGGGGTTGTCGAACTGGAGGGTCAAACGCCCTGAACCCTGTGAAGTTGGGGATGGGGGAAGGCCTCCCAGAATGCAGCCTCACCAACGATGAGGCTCAAAGGAGCCAGGCCTTCGGCGGCAGGGATGAGGTGGTGCCCAAGAATCAGCTTCTGGGATGTCAGCTCCCATCTCTCTGACACCACAGAGCGGCTGGCCCCCACCGCTCTTGACCACAGCAGCAGGCTAGGCTGGCTTAGGCCCATGCTCTGCTGAATGCTGAGGTCCCAGCAGAGCTGAGTGCAACCCTGCTAACCCGCTTCCCCGCTCTCCCCAGAGGACCTGGTGCAGATGCCTCCGACGCCCCCCAGCAGCCATGGAAGTGACAGTGATGGCTCCCAGAGTCCCCACTCTCTGCCCCCCTCCAGCCCTGTCCGGCCCATGGCCCGCTCCTCCACGGCCATCTCCACCTCTCCCCTCCTCACGGCCCCTCACGTAAGCCGCTGGGAGTGGTCTGGGCAAATAACTGGGTAAACCCACTCTGGCACACAGCCAGTGGGGAAGGGTCTGGGGAGCCCCAACCTGATCCCCACCCCCATCAGCATTCAGAGAGGTGCCTGCCTGGCAGATGGGAGTGAGAATCTCTCAGTCCTACCTCGCGGTGAATAGGAAATAGGCAGAGAGGGCCAAGAGGCCCGCCGAGCCCACAGTGTGCAGAGCCAGGACTAGAGCTGACATTCCTAACCTCCCTGTTTGGGGAGCAGTGCTCCCAGAATACCCAGGCCCAGAATACCCAGGAAACTGGCATAGGCCTGAGCCCTGGGATGGTGTGGAACCTTCCAAGCCAAGACTGTAGGGATATGGAGGGGGGTGCCATTTAGGGGGCCCTGAACAAGTAGGTTTTGAGCCTCTGAATTTCAGCCTCTGATCTAAGGAGCCTCCCCACCCCTAACAATGTACCGAGTGCCTAATATGCTGGGCTCCCAGCACCATCCTAACCATTTGATTCATACTATTGGATTTAATTCAGCTCTACCCCATTCTTTATTTATATACAGATAGATAGATAGATAGATAGATAGATTTCTTTTTTTATTGATTTCTTATAGAGAGAGTGGGAGAGGGATAGAGAGTTAGAAACATCGCTGAGAGAGAAACATTGACCAGCTGCCTCCTGCACACCCCCTACTGGGGATATGCCCGCAACCAAGGTATATGCCCTTGACCAGAATCGAACCTGGGACCCTTGAGTCCACAGGCCAACGCTCTATCCACTGAACCAAACCGGTTAGGGCTCACTCTACTCCATTCTTTCAAAATATATATTTGTTTATTTCAGAGAGGAAGGGAGAGGGAGAGAGATAGAAACATCAATGATGAGAGAGAATTATGGATCAGCAGTCTCCTGTATGCCCCACACTGGGTGGGGATTGAGCCGGCAACCCAGGCATGTGCCCTTGACCAAGAACCAAACCCCGACCTCCCGGTTCACAGGTCAACACTCAGCCACTAAGCCACGCGGGCTGGGCTCCGCTCCCTTTTTAGATGAGGAAACTGAGGCTCGGGGAGTTGAGTGCTTTGTCCAAGGTCACACACAGAATAAACGGCAGAGCTTAAATTTGAACCCAGGGCTGTCTGGTTCTAACCATCACGTACTGTTTCCCACAGAAACTGCAGGGGACTTCCGGGCCACTGCTCCTGACAGAGGAAGAGAAGCGCACCCTGATTGCTGAGGGCTACCCCATCCCCACAAAACTCCCCCTCACCAAAGCCGAGGAGAAGGCCTTGAAGAGGGTCCGGAGGAAAATCAAGAACAAGGTAGAGCAAGAGCTGGATCCAGGCCCTGTCCTGGGGCTTCCTTGGTGGGCGGAGGTCTCTGATCGCCTGGTGATGCCAGCTCTGAAATGGGGGGTCCCAGGAATTGGATTTATGGCCATGGTAACCCCTCTTTTGGGGGCTTCCCCCTCTAGATCTCGGCCCAGGAGAGCCGCCGTAAGAAGAAGGAATACGTGGAGTGTCTAGAAAAAAAGTAAGGGTCCTGTGCGGGGAGGGGGGCTGGGTCCCTGGGCTCCAGGGGCAGGAGGCCCAGGGGCTGAGATGCTGGTGGGCAGGACCGAGGGGACAGCAGCAAATCCGGGGCTGCCCCTGAGCCTGTGCCTGCTTGGCCCCACAGGGTGGAGACATTTACATCCGAGAACAACGAGCTGTGGAAGAAGGTGGAGACCCTGGAGAATGCCAACAGGTGGGTGCTGCCACCTGCGCCCGTACTGCCCCTGCCTCCCCGCAGAGGAGAGGTGACTGAGTTCAGGATGAACCCCAGAAATAGGAACCCTGCAGCTCGGGAGGCCAGCTTCCCATCCTTCTTCATCCACACGTAGTTCTTCACCCATGGCTGGCTGATGAGAGTTCTAAAGGAGATGGTACAGACCAGTGGTTTTCAGAGTACGGCTCTCAGACCACCACCAGCAGCCTCCCCCGCGAACAAATTAGAAATGCTTCTTATTTTCAGGCCTCGTGCCAGGACTATGGAAGCAGGAACTCCAGGGAGGGGGCTCAGCAATCTATGTTTTAGTTAGCACTCCAGGTCATTCTGATGCACGCTAGGGTTAGAACCACTGGCCGAGATGCTTGCCACTCAAAGCGAGCTTCTCAGACAACAGCAGCAGCAACAGCCGCAGGGAGCTGGTAAGAAATGCAGAATCTCAGGATTCTCCCAGACTTACTGAATCAGAATCTGCATTTCCGCAAACCCGTTGGATGATTCGCATGCACAATTAGGTTTTAAGAAACACCAGGGTACACATAGCGCCGGGCCTGAAGTAGCTTTATAAAGTCACAGCTCTGGATTCGAATTCCACTCTGCCATTTTGGCGACTGGGCCCAGCGTCTTTGTCTAAATGGAGACGATAGAAGCACCATCTCCCAGGATGTGTGGGATGATTCAATGAGCTAGTGCAACTCAAGAGCCCAGCACTGTGCTTGGTGTTTAAGGATGCTCAGTTCATGTTAGTTTTTCTTTTTCCTTTCTTTATGGTTATTATTCTGAATTCTTAATAGTGCCCAGGCATGCATGCACAGTAGGTCTTTAATGATTATTTGCTGGGATTAATTAAAATAAATAGACAACAGGCTGGCTGGCGTGGCTCAGTGGTTGAGCATCAACCTATGAACCAGAAGGTCACGGTTTGATTTCTGGTCAGGGCACCAGATTGAGGGCTGGATCTCCAATGTGGAGCTGATCAATGATTCTCTCTCATCATGGATGTTTCTATTTCGCTCCTTTTCCCTTCCTTTCTGAAATAAATTAAAATATATATTTAAAAATAAGATAAAATAAAAACAATAGCTGGAAGGTAGCAGGTGCTCAAGAGAAGGCTTTTCCCTTCTTTCCTTCCTTCTCTGCCAGCTTCTCCAGCGGGATCCAGCCACTGTCGATTGATCTGGAGAATGCCTTCCCTCAGGGAAAGGGAGCAGGGAACCATCACCCCTCACTCTACCTCTGGCCCACATTCCTCTCTGGCCCCAAATCTGGCCAGGCCCTCGGTGTTATTTCGCCACCTGCTGTACATTATTTGAACTGCACCCCCCTCTGCCAGGCTGGGTGGAGGAAAGAGATGATTACACGTTTGTTCACCAAGCGCAGGCTGAGCACCCGCTGTGTGTAGTCAGAGGACTCCACGCCCCGTGGGACCCAGTCATTACCCTCAGGGAGCCCACAGTTAACTGAGGAGGTTGGCATGGAAGTCCATAAATAAACGGGTGACAGGTGTTGTGACAAATGTGAAAACAGCAATAAAAATTTTTTAAATGGTAGTTACCATTTACCGGACACTCACTGTGTACCAGGCAGCTGCCAGACATGGGTTGTGGAGAGCTGCGGCTGCCATAGGGCCCAGGTGGGGCGGCCTTCCTCCAACCCCACTTTGGCCAGGAGCATCACAGGGCCCCCCTGATCTCCTCAAGAGTGACCTAGCTATCTGCCAGGAGGCAGGCCCAGGTTCCCGAACCACACCGCGGGGGGCCAAGCAGGAGGCTACCTCTTCTGTCTTGACTGAAGTGGGCACCTTGGGGGCAGCCAGGTCTGAAGCCAGCCCAGGTGTGCGCTGGAGAGCAGGAGGCAGAGATGCCTGCTGGGTCAGAGCCTCTGGTGACCGCTGTATCCCCCTCAGGACCCTGCTTCAGCAGCTGCAGAAGCTCCAGACGCTGGTCACCAACAAGATCTCCAGGCCGTACAAGATGGCAGCCACCCAAACTGGGACCTGCCTCATGGTAGGTCTGCTTCCTCGGTCAGGCCTCTGGGGGGCGTCTTCCCCCGGTGGCTTTCTAGGGGGGTGGGCAGACCTTGGAAGGATTGGCAATATGATGGGCACCATCCCAGTGCCCATTGGTCTCTTTCACCAAGTCCTCTGAACCTTCCAGGCTAGAGCATGGCCTGCCCTGACCAGTTCTAACAGTGGCTGTGCAGTGACTCCTGTGAACCCCGCTGGGGGGTGAGGGGGGTGGCAAAGCAAATGCCACACCCTGTGGAGTGAAGGGCTGGGGGAGACACTCAGGACCTGAGGACTTGGTTCTTTCTGGAATGAATGGTGGCAAAAAGGCCAAGCAAATCTCTGAAAACCCAAAAGAGTGCCCAGCGTGTGGCTCAGGCCTCTGCCGGTCCCTCTTCCACCCTCTCCTGGACCCGCCCGGGGCATCCCCTCTGGGACCCGGGCTGCCAGGTGGCAGAGCCATGTGTGGGCAGGGGTTAGTGTGTGCCTTGTGACTCCTAGCTCCTCCTGCTGAGAAGCTGCTGTGATACTCTGTCCCCTGCCTTGTCCCAGCCCCAATCCCTTTTCTTCCTTCAGATTCCTCCACCGTGGAGGTGACACCCCATGAGCCACTTCCCTCTTTCTTCCAGCAGTGCCTGGGCTGAGATGGCCCAAGCTCCCTCCTCCACCTTCTTCAGAGAGGGCGGGATACCCTGCATCTACTGGGGGTGTTGGCCTTGGGAGCTGCTTTCTTAGAGAAATACTGAGCCTTTTGCAGCCATTGGTTTGGGGGCAGGAGACCTAGGCGAGGCCAGGGTGGCAGCCCCTCCTTGCCCTGGATCTGACCACTGCTCTCTCTCTCCTTCCAGGTGGCAGCCTTGTGCTTTGTTCTGGTGCTGGGCTCCCTGGTGCCCTGCCTCCCCGAGTTCTCCTCCGGCTCTCAGACTGTGAAGGAAGACCCCATGGCCGCTGACAGCGTCTACACAGCCAGTCAGAGTGAGTGCCCTGACCAGGCTGCCCCTCCCCAGCCCCAGCTTCCGTGCAGAAGCCAGGCACAGGGAGGAGCCAAGTTTTGGGTTGGCATCACCTCATTCTACGTCCTCTTTTTACAGATGGAAAATGGAGGCTCGAAAGAGTCTATGGTTTGTTCCGTGTTAGTTATGGAATTGGGGCTACAGGGCAGACCCCTGATTCTCAGCCTATCCAGAAGTGGCTAGGGGGTCAGTTGAAGGGATAACAAAAACATCCCCACCTTTACCCCCATGTCTTATGTGCCAGTGGGTTATGGGGCCTCTGGTGAGCACCATCTGTATTTCTGGGACAGCAAATGAGTTTCAGCTCAAAGGCCGTCTCCAGTGAGACGGTGGTGGCTGCCTGAGGCTCTGTGTGACGCAGGATTCTGAGGCCCCACTCAGGATGGACAGGAAGGAGCGCCAGGGTCCATCGGTGTCTACAATGGCAGCAGAGGGGTGGTGGTGGTGTGAGCTCAGGTATTCACCATCCCGTGGAGGATTGTGAGGTTCCGTGGTTAAGAGTATGGAGCCCCAGAGTCCGTCAGACCTGCCTCTGCCACTGCGTGACCTTGAGCCTGTGCCTTACGCTCTCCAGGCTTTCATTTCTCCCCTTGGAAATGGGAGTGACAGCTCCGCACGTACAGAGCATGGTTGATGTGAAGGTTAAGTGACCTGGTGTATGAACGCTCTCAACACAGACACAGCCCCTGGGAGGCAAAGGGAGAGCTAGTCTAGAGTGCAGTGAGGAGAGCATGGATTTCACCAGGCAGAAGGTACTGCGGGTAGACCCACAGAGGAACTTCCCGACCATGTGTCATCACTTACCAGGAGCAAGTCATTTGGCAGGGCAGGAGGAGGAAGAGGAACCGGATGGGCAATCGGAGAGATAGGAGATGGGGAGAGTGAGTTTCCAGAAGGAGAGATACCACAGGGAGGATGAGGCAGGCCTGCGTGGCCTTGAGGGGAGGAAACGGCTGGCCGGTCAGGGGAGGGGCAAGGGAAGAGGAAGTGGAGGCAGGGCGTGAGATCCACTCCCTGGACCTGTGCTGTGTGGCTGGGACCGAGAAGAAGAGAGCAAGACAGTGACTAAGGGGGTGTACGGTCTTGAGAGCCACGTGTTGTTTACCCAAGGCCAGAGCGGCCCTAGTGTATCTGGCGGTAGAGGAAGCCAGAACAGAGGAAGGAATGGAGCTGGGGGGGGGGGGGGAGAGGGGGGGGAGGTGGGCGGGGGTGTGGATGAAGGAAACCAGAGTCAGAGGAGGCAGTGAAGGAATGAGCCCCTCGAGTGAGTGAATGCCATGGGTACGGGCCTGCACATCCGGGGTAGGGAGCTCTGGAGCAGGCTGGCGTGCAGAGCCAGGAACACACCATTCCAGGGGGTGCCACGTAGATCAGGGCCGTGAGAGCCGGAAGGATGGTGGTGGGCCACACTAGCATGGAACGTGCCTGGTCACTTAAAACCTCCACTGCCTGTTCTGTGAAGCAGGGCTGGAATATCTGGTTCTTGGGTTCTGAGAGATGTCCAACTCAATACAGGCCAGAGGACTTGGCACACAGTATTCTCCAACAAATGGGTTCCCTTCCTTTTCTCTTCACCTTTACCCCAGAGCACTGCCTTCCCTGACCTTTACCCCAGGGAAGGGCACTCTAGGGCCTAGAATGGGGGCCTAGAATGGGGAAGAGGTTTATTCAAGATGGAAATCCGTAAGTTGGATTCAAACCCAGCTCTCAGATGGCACCCTCTGCTTAGAAAGAGCTACTTTCTTTTTCTTTTTTCTTTTTAATTATATATTTTATTAATTTTTTTACAGAGAGGAAGGGAGAGTGATAGAGAGCTAGAAACATTGATCAGCTGCCTCCTGCACACCTCCCACTGAGGATGTGCCCGCAACCAAGGTACATGCCCATGACCGGAATCGAACCTGGGACCCCTCAGCCTGCAGGCAGACGCTCTATCCACTGAGCCAAACCGGTTTCGGCAAAAGAGCTACTTTCTGTGGGTGTTCACTAAACAGTTTCAATCACTTCCCCTGTGTGGTCTCCTTGAAACCTCACATCTCTGTGAAGTTGGTCCCAGGATCCCTATTTCCTAGGTGAGCAAACTGAGGCTCAGAAAGTTTAAAACAAAGGCCCGAGGTCACACAGCGTGGCATTGTTGGAGCTGGAATACAGGTCCAGGCCTTTAAGATTCCCCACGAGGCCAGGAATGTGGCTGGGGTGGCGGGGGAGCCTCTTGGCACAGGGCTTACCCTGAGCTCTCTCTCCAGTGCCCTCCCGAAGCCTTCTGTTCTACGATGAGGGGGCAGGCTCTTGGGAGGACGGCCGCGGCGCCCTGCTGCCTGTGGAGCCCCCCGATGGCTGGGAAATCAAGCCCGGGGGGCCTGCGGAGCAGGGACCCCAGGACCGCCTCCAGTATGACCACCTGGACAGCACGCACGAGACCGCTAAGTACCTGAGCGAAGCCTGGCCAAAGGACATCCGTGGAAATGGCACCAGCCCCGACTTCTCCCACCCCAACGAGTGGTTCCACCAGAGGTGGGTGGGTGGCTCCTCCCCCTTTTTTCCCCCTCCTGGGCTCCCAAGGCTCCACCTGCCCCCTGCCCTCCCCTGGTCCCCGTGTCAGCCACACCTCGCCCAGGCCTCATCCCTCCCCTGGCCAGGTCCAGCTTGCAGGGGGCTGAGCAGAACCTCATTGGACAAAGTCTCTGACTGTCCTTCTCTCTCTAGGGATCTGGGCCCAAACACCACTATCAAGCTCTCCTAGGCCGTACCAGAACCCAGGACCCAGGACGCGTATCCCCCTGGCAAACCCTGAAGAGGGACTGTCTTGCTCGCTAACCCGGATCCGGCTTGTGCCCCTGCCCCCTGGGGTGCCATCCCAGGAGAAAGGGTTCCACTTCTCCCCAGCCCTTCGTTGCCCCAGGTCTTGGCTGGGGCCTCCCTTTTCTCCCCACATTTGGACCGTTCCCCTGGGCCAACCACTCCGATGTCACCCTCCCTTCACAACCGTCTGTCCTCAGACAAACCACTCACTGGGCTACCCCCTCTTTCCTCATGATGACCAACACGACCACTGCCCTCCCTGCCCCCCCGGCCCCCACATACACAAACACACCCATCAACATGCCCACACACACACACACACACACACACACACATGCTCCCCTCATCCCCACTGTACAGAGACCAAGAACAGAAATTGTTTGTAAATAATGAACCTTATTTTTTATTATTGCCAGCCCTCTAAGATATTGTATTTTGCAAGTCTCCCTCCTACCTTCCCCGCTCCCTTGTTTTATATTTTATGAAATTAGTGCGGGCTTCGCTGTTCCCTAGCCAGGGAACGAGGGCTCCCCTCCCCGCCCTCCCCTGGCCTCTCCATGCCGCTGCCCAAGCCGCTGGGCATTTTTAATTGCCAAACTGCTTCCTCCACCTGCTCAGCATATGCTTTAAGAAGGCAAAAGTGAAGAAAAAAAAAAAAAAAGATTCAGCATCAAATCCTGACTGTGTGCCTTTCATTGGTGGGGTGGGGGTGGGGGTAGAACTTGGGTGGTCGGGGAGTGAGAAGGTAAATATATTTTATATTCTGTTGGGGTGGAGGGGTGACTGGGGATGGGATTGTTGGGAAGGCATTTCTATCGGGTTTCCTCTTCCAGCCAGATGCAGAATTCAAACTAGAAGCTCTAAGAGTTCTGTTGCAATTGCCCCACCCCAAGGCACCAGCTATCTCCTGGTACTGAGGACCGAAGCAAAGAGGCAAATTGGCCTGGAGGGGTGGGAACTGCAAGTATTGAGCACCTACTGTTATAGACCCTCAGAACTGGCCATCAGGCCTCATCCTCTATGCCCCCTCCTCTCACAGCCTCATCTTGACCACTTGGTGGGGACCTCACTGCCTGCAGCTGGACATCAGTTTTAACTGCTAGAACCTGCAGGCTTTTACAGCAAGGCCATTAAAGGCTGGGCCCTGGGCCCAAGCTATTATTATTATTATTATTATTATTATTAACAATACCTTCTAGCACACACCTTCAGATTGATTCACCAATTCCATTAGACATTCAACAAACTGCCCTGGAAGGCCCAGGCTGGGGTGGAGGCTGGGGAGTAAACCAGCCATCAGGGCCGGTGTGACAGAGGGGTGCACAGGAGGTGAAGGGGACACGGAATAATGTCATGTCATTCAGATTTGGTGGGTCAGGGAAGGCAACGCAGAGGAATTGGCCCTGAACTAACTTACGGGACGAGTAGGAGCTGGTAAGGCAGAGAGGAGATAGGAGTGTTTGGGGGTGGAGAAAATGTCAAGTGCATAAGCATAAAGCCATGAAAAGCAGGGCCAGGGCTGGGGTGAGGAAAGGGGGCCGTGAGGATGTGAAATTTAAGGAAGCACTTGTACCCCAGACTCCATATTTGCTTCACCCCAGTCCTGGCCCTGATGCAAAGTATGGCCCCTTTTAAAGAAAGCATTCTTTACCCTGAAAGTGATGGGGAACCACTGAATGTTTTTGAGCCAGAGAGTAAGATAATCCGATTGCCCTCTCCTGGGCCTCTGTGGGGGTTATAGTGAGAATGAGACAGATTCTGAAGATAATTAGAAGGAATTATCAACAGGCATTGACATCCAATTGGCTGTGAGGTGCAAGTGAGAGGATGGAGCTTGGGGTGACCTTTAGGTGTCTGGCTTGAAGGTCTGGGTGGATAACGATCCATTCACCAAGACAGAGAATGCGTATAACCTGATGAACAAAAAGATAGATGCAGAGGCAGTAAAGCACCGAACAGACTGTCAAATTACAGCGGGGAGGCTGGGGAGTGTTGAGGAGCAGGGAAAGAGATCAACCGAAGGACTTGTATGTGTGCATATAAGCACACCAATGGACACAAGACACTGGGGGGGGGGGGCAGGATGAGGGCATGGGACAGGAGGTAGGGGAGGCTGGGGGAAGATCACAGAGGGGGAAAAGGAAGATATATGTAATACTTTAAACAATAGTAAATAAAAGACAGAGAATGCAGAGGAAGAGCAGGTTTGGAGAGAAAGGAAAACTCATTTTAACACATCTTGCATTTGAGTTGCCGGTGGAATGTTCACATTAACAGGTAGGCCTAGGGCTTGGGGAAAAGAGCCCCCAGGTGGAGACTGGGATATTGTCCACATCCAGGTGGTCTGTTACCGTCTGGGTCTGCATATGGGGAAGGGAGATGGGGAGGAGCCGGGGGAAGGTGGACATTGAGAGACACTGAAGGGAGCGGAGTGAAGGAGAAAGGCAGAGAAAGGGAAAAACCGGCAGAGGGGAGTGCCCCAGAGACTGATGGAGGAGAGCTTCCAGGAGCCATGCTCAGAGCTGTCAGATGCCATCTGAGAGGCGGAGAAAGATGAGAAGAAGACAGAGTGTCCTTTCTCTTTGACGACGAGAAGGTTGCCAGTAACCTTGGTTGGAACCCTGTTCGGGGGAGCTGGGGCAGAAGTGAGAGGATTTGGGTGAAAGTGAGAACAAGAGGAACCTACATGAAGATGGGGAGGATGGAAGAGGAGGGTGTCGGTGAACTCTTGCAGGGTGCTTAGCTGTGAAGGAATAGAAGGTGGTAACTAGAGGGGATGTAGGTGAGATCAAGAGCAGTTTGGGGCTATTCTCTTAGACGGGAGAGATTTGGCCATGGCTCTTTCCAGAAAATAAAGAGCCAACTGAGAGGGAAAATGATGGATGAGAGTTGTGGAGAAGGGATCCAGGAAGCAGATAAAGAACTCCACCTTTGCCCAACCAGTGTGGCTCAGTGGTTGAGCAAGGCCTATGAACCAAGAGGTCACAAGTTCAATACCTGGTCAGGGCACATGCCCAGGTTGCATTGTGGGGCTTTCGGGAGGCATTCAATCAATGAATCTCTCTCATCATTGATGTTTCCATCTCTTTCTCTCCCTGCTCTGAAATCAATTTTTTAAAAAAAGTACATATATTTTTAAAAGAACTCCACCTTCAACCTTAGAAGCCTGGAAAGAAAGTCATGGTATTCCTTAAGTGAAGAACGTAAGGGGACAGGGAAATGAGGGAGCCCCCTCCCCTTGGCTGTGAAGTTTGAGGATGGGGCAATGGGGAGGGTTAGCATGGGAGTTGAATTGGGGGACAAGGAGAAAGTTTGAAATTGTCACTCTGAAAAATGGAAAATGAATCTGACTTCTGGGGTGACCCCCCCCTCCACCATTCATTCGTTCATTTAATACATATTTAAGGAGTGTCCCTTATGTGCATGGCACTTTGCTAACATTAGAGCACAAATAAGATCTGGCTAATGATATCTTATTCCCCCACCCTCCCATTATGGACTAATTTTTGATTATCAGGCACTGAACTGATGATTTCACATGTCCCAATTGGGAATCAAAATAATCCTAAGAGCTGGCATTTTTACAGATGGTGAAACTGGGGTTCCGAGGGGTGAAATGACTTGACCAAGATCTTGCAGCAAGTAAGTGGCAAGGTCATTTGAACACAGGTCTGTTTGGCTTCAAGGCCCATACTGCCCCTGCAGCTCTCCAGTTCTCACCCCAGCAACCCTTTCCTCTCTCCTCCAGATGCCCTCCCCTTGGCCCAGATTTGTATTCTTGCACATCTTCCAAGAACATTGGGACTTCCCAGAGCAACCACCCCAGAGAGCCCAGGATTTAGTGAGCTGGCCAAAGTGTGGTCATCTGCAGTCACCACCCTATGCTGTCCATTGAGACAGTCTTCCCGCCTGGGTTAAAGTGCATGGTGAACTCACTCACACAAGCACCTGCTGACTCTCCACCTCCTCCGGGGACCAGTGTTACTGTCCCTGAGGGGGCGTGTCCTAATGCATCCCAGTGTTAGAATTACAGTCCCTGAGCTCAGTTGTCAGTTCTGGCAGCCGGCTTTGTCATAAACGTGATGGCTTTCACGGTGCCAGTCCTTCTGCTAGCTCGCCACAACAAACCCTTTGTTACACCTGGAAAGCAAAGCTCTGGACGCAGGCAGAGAAGCTGTGGGCAGTGCCTGGCACTGGGATGGGCCAGGGCAAGGTTCCAATTCCAGAAACCAAACTGGGCACCTATCTGATGTAGGCAAAAGGTGCCCCTCGGGTCACAGGGATGGGGGGAGAGGGGCCGAGAGCTGGCCTCCAAAGAAGCCTAAGTTGCTTTGGCACCAGAGTGTCCGTGAAGAGCAGGAACACTGATGTTGCTGCACTTTGCTGTTGACCTTGGCCAGTTCCCTAGCCTCGTGAAGCCTCAGTGTCTTCATTGGAAAATAGTACCCACCCTCATAAAATTTCTGTGAAGGCCCAGCCAAAGGGAGTGGCTCGGTTGTTTGAAGCAATGCGTCTCTCCCTCTTTCTCTCTCCCACCCTCCCTCTATCTAAGCCTGTCCTTGGGTGAGGATTTTAAAAAATAAATTGCAGTGAGAGGTAACTGAAAGCTTGCACGTAGAGCTCTTAGCACAAGGTCGGCTATGCAGTAAGCACTCAGAAGGCATTAGCTATTATTTTCCGAGCGCAGAGACAATGGGCTGGAGGTGTTCTGAGGAGCAAGCTGCAGCTAGGAGAGGTGGAAGGTGGTCAGGCTGGTCAGAGGAGGGGGGCCTTCATTTTCCCCTAGGATTCTTGGGAAGAGGGCGGAGCTGGAGCTAAAAAAAAATAATGCAGTTAGCAGCTGGTCCTAAATGGGGGAGGTGTGAAGACCGAGGGGGGAAGCTTCACTTTTAAAAGGACTGAGTGGGGAGGGCTCAACAGGAAAGAAGGGAACAAAACACC